AGCTTCCACTCAATTTACAGGAAGACATGAATCGATACTTGCTTTCTTCTCTAATTAGTACCAATATATTTAGTACGAGAAAAAATTCTTAATGTGGTAACACTACACAAAAGGGGTGCTAACTCTGAAATAGTCATCTTGCTACTTGCAATATGGTGAACAGATAGCATCAGTATATATGAATCTTCAAGCGCACACTCTAAATGAACTTGGCACTTGCAAATTGCAATACCATTAGGCTATGTGGGTAGTATATCAAATGGGCTATCACAGTAGTTGAATAGGACTGTGTACCTTAGTGTGACGTGCGGCTGGACATTTTGTCGAACATGTTGCAGGCAGTAGAGGCAGTGTCGCTTAGTCGTGCTAGTTGCTCGCTGCCATCGTACTCCTGTAGGCAGCCAGCCAGGTGTGATGGTGGTTGGGTGCCTCCGGGTTAGCCGGTCAAGGGACGCCAGTGTAGGTGGCCGGAATGCCTTTACCGCTGTCCCCTTCCGGGCTCCCGGCGGTCGACCATGGCTAGCCTCCACGCCCTCTTCCGTGGTTTCGCCTAGACTGCTGCTGGCGGCAGCACGTGATGTGGTGGCGCGGCCAAGCCCTGGACGGCGCCGTCACCGCTCAAGAGCAGACACGGCCGCGCCATTGCAGGCGGCATTCGTATCCGATGGGGAGAGCCGGGTGTGGCTCTCGGCCAGGGGGTGGAGCTAGAGAAATACTGAGCGGGTGCGACCGTGCGGGCTTATTAATAGCAATTGCTTAGATATATATTCACACGATCGTGTAATTTAATAATACTCTCTCTATCTCTCTCTGAAACAATTAATTCCTAGCCCAAATATTTGTCTAAAAAAATCGATTTATGGGAGTTGGAGGGTCTATCGACCCACGATAATCTCCCTCGTAGTCGCGTCCGCATTGAACACAGCCCATCCGTCTCCCTAAACCAGGTCTCTTGCCTCCTAAATTCCCGAGCCTGCGGTGATGGCACTCGGTGCTTGCTTTTAATCGATCCTCTCCGTGCAGTGACGATCATAGAGCAAGGAGATCGGAGTCATGGCTGCTGTAGCAGGCAGAGGCGAGCTCGGAGGCCGCGGAGGCGTGATCCGGTGATATCTTTTTCCCGGTGTGGAGGGAAGACCTTTCCATGTTTTTTCTAGTGTCCACAATAAAATTTAAATTTTAGTTGCTTCCACTTATATTAATTTTCAAATATTAGAGAAAGAATCAAACAGCCAAACCTTAGAATCCAAACAAATAATGAAGAAGGTAAGAACTACAAACTGAAACCAATTTAAATACTCAGGTTAATGGAAAATTAATGGAAAATTCTTAAAGTGAAGAGAATTTTTAAGTCATTTTTCGAACTTTGCCGTTGAATCTTGATAAATATCGCTCAACTCCTGTAGGCAAAAACAAAAGCACGGAAGGGCAGGGACGTTAGGACGTAGGGCGGCACTCCTGTCTCCTGTCTCCTCTCTCCTCTCTCCTGGTGTTTCAGTGCTTCCGACACTAGCACCTAAGTGGAGGCAGCTAGCCGCCCGGACAGCATCCAGTAGCGTCGGCGTGCTGTGGGTGCAGACGTTGGCCGATGGGGGGTGCGAATACGGTAGAAACTTGTATACTATAACCTATTTCGCATTTGAGCCTGGGTGCAGCCGCACCCACATGGTTGTATATGGATCCGCCCGTGTCGGAATGAAACGGCCTGAACATAAACTGCTGCAGTAACTCACAACCATGTCGTGAGCTCAAGTGGCTCCATTTCATGGCCTCATCTATTGATGTATCTCCACTTAGTACATCTTCTACTTTAGGTTTACTATATTCTGCAGTTGTACCATACGACAACTATTATGCATGTAATATATGAATATGTACTTACTCTCGTAAAGATTATATATTGCAGTCTATATATTGACATTCAAAATATTTGCTGTTGCCTGCCTACGCACCGCATTACTCTGATGAAGCACTTGCCTAAGGACTAACTGTAATCGCCCAACCAGGCTGATCATCTCTGCACAACGCAGTATCTCAATATTATCTGTATCAAACATCTACCCATGTATATTTGAGTAATGGTATCCTATACCTATCTACTTCTACCTATACAGCCCTAGAAACAATGCTTCTCTCTTCTCGCAGTTCTCTAAACCATCCACGTATGTACAATACAATATGTATAACTTCAACCTGTGTGCACATCACTATGGTTTAGTCATCCACTTTATCACTATATGAGCCATGAGACTTTGTTCACTCGCGCGCAGGGGCGCGCGTTTTCTACTAGTAATCATCTAATGCTATCTCCGGTTCACAGCGCTCTTGTTTTTGACTCTTTTATTTACTCTCCAACATGTTTTACTCGGAGGTACTTGTCATTTTTTTTGCAACCTTACCCCGTCTTAATCTTTCGCCAACTATTAATACTCCCTCCGTTTTAAATTATAAGTCAGTTTGACTTTTTTTTTTTGTATATCTATTTTACTATACATCTAGATATAATAATATGTTTAGATACATAGCAAAATGGATAAATCAAAAAAGTCAAAGTGACTTATAATTTGAAATAGATGGAGTAACTTATAATTTGAAATGAAGGGAGTAGTATAAGAGAGTGTCTATAGGACGGTATATGTGTGTATTTTACGTGATATAATGCACATTTTAAAAGGTTAGAATAGAACATTCTATCTACTTTTAAAATACTTGACGTTTATGAGGAGATAACTAGTTTTGAAATAACCTAATTGCTTTCCCTAAACATCATTAGTTCTTGTGCAAAATAACGAGTATGGTGAGCAGGAGCCAGGAGGATGGAGCATCATGCGCAGTCGTCACTCCTCAGTTGACAAGAGAACAGCGCATCCAAGAATTCCGTTGTGCTAGTACCGTTGGCAACTCGGCATTCCCGTTGGTTAGGGGCATTTGTTTCTGGCATTTCGGGCCGGGCTAACATCTTTTGGCGGCTATGTCGTCCGTACTGGCCGCGGTGCTGGTTTAGTGGTACCAGCACGACTCATGACAACACCACGTGCCGCCTGAGCTGGAGCAGTGGCAGAGTCGCAGAGACGACGCGCAGTACCAGACGTGGCCCAAACCGCGAGAAGCGCCGTGCGCCCTGCGTCCGCCGCGCGTTTCAGCAATCAGCGCTCCGGTGTCCAGTTTGGCTTGGCGGTGGCGGTACCGTGCGGTGAACACCTATGGCTCCGACGCCCGAAAAGACGAGCTGAAAGCGAGCGCGCCCGGGCACGGACGGGCATGGGCAAGGGTGCCGACTGCCGAGCCAGCACGTCGGCCGCCTGGCCGTGGGCGCGCTGGCCTGCCACGAGTACGTGCTTCGGATGCTTTCGCTTCTCCTGTTATTATCCAGCGGGTGTCCCGGTGACGTCTGAAGTCTGAATTCCCGGCCCGGGGGACAGTGCTGCCTGCGTCGTCCGTGATTTGCTCGAGGGATAAGAACAACGGCAACAAAGGCCTCACAGAAATGAGAGATGCGCGTAGGGTTTTGGCTTGAAAAATTTGTAAAAATGACACTTAGCCAATGACATTTGTTTTCATATGGGCATGTGATATTTTAACTTGTGCTGAAGTCTTCAGAAGACCATGTTAATGGACTGACGCCGCGGCTTAAACGTTGTGCTGAAGTCTTCAGAAGACCATGTTAATGGACTGACGCCGCGGCTTAAACGATCGATTTACGTTCGTCTTAGTTTCATGATGGCCTGGCACTCTGGCCAGCGAGACTGTGACACCAAGTGCATGCGGTACCATAGAAGATCTGTCGCTCTGGCACAAACATGTGCATTGCCCGAGGATCCTTGGTCCATCTCAGGCAAGTATGATCAACTGTGTACTCCCCTCCTCCTAAATCCTAAATACAAGATATCCAAGTAATTTAGAATCAAATATGAAATCCTGCAAAAATCTAACTTACCCTCACTAATTAGTTAGTTCCATTGTACTCTAAATTATTTAATGTTCTACTACTAGTTTAATAATAAAAAAGGTATGAAGGCATGTTTTTTTTATTTCGGTAACCAATTACATGAGCGATTTTAGGCAAGATGAGGCAAGTATCGATCAACATCGCCCGGCTAGATTGTGTCAACTGAAACAGGGACACGCACCCAGAGTGGCACCACAGAGAAATAAATCCTTGTGTGACTAATCAATCACAGACACAAACCACCTGTTACGTCCCTGTTGTTCATGTGATTCTTCAACTATTCCCCGTATCGTCCAATCAGGAGTTAATCCAACACTTTCATGCAACGTTGATTCCGTGGCCTGTCTTCTTGCAAGGCTAGAAGGAAGCTCAAGAAGGCAGGCATTCCTCGGCAAGCAAGCACAAGCAGCAGCTCCGTCACTCATCTCAGATTGCCTTTATTCGTCAGATCCGCTCGCATCGCCGTCGCCGGCGATCTTGTTCCCCTACGTTGCGTCAGTGCCGTTAACAGTAGCAGAGTAATGAATTGTTTTCACGAACCCTAGCAACCGTCTCCGGTGACGAATCAATGCGATTTACCCCGTAAGCGCCATGTGCCGTTCGGATCCACCGCTTCAATGTTTTTTTTTTCTTTGCTCTAACCTTTGCAGCTTGCAGGCAGGAGAAGCAGAAGAACACAGGTCCATGGCCCACTTAAAAATATCTCCAAGCAGGCAAGTAATGGCGGAATGTCATGAGCGCACCAAACAACGGCTCTCGCAATTTACAGCCCCACCGCACAACCGAGTGAATGAATTCACTTTAAATGAGGACACCGGCAACCACCACCTTCCCGACTGGCGCCTGCTCTTCACTCCCAATTCCCCGGCTTGGCTTCCCTCCACACACACCGGACACCGCAGCTCACTCGACTCCACTCGAGGCATGCAGTGCAAGCTAGTTAGGACACTGCTCGAGCAGCAGCAGCGTACATAAAAGGCACGGCAGCTGGCTTCTCCACCTTGCTGTCCTGAAGCTTCTCACCATCCATCTCAGCTTCGACTCGGTCTCCATGGATTTTCGCAGCGTCAGATGGAGGAAGGCTCTGCCGCTGTGCCTAGCTCTTGTGGCTCTGCAAGCATGCCTCCCTGCTCGCGCGGCGGCTCCGAAGACTTACATCGTCCAGATGGCCTCGTCTGAGATGCCGAGCTCGTTCGATTTCCACCACGAATGGTACGCATCCACTGTGAAAACCGTGAGCTCTGTGCAGCTGGAAGGAGACGCGGGCGACCCGTACTCGAGGATCGTCTACAACTACGGGACGGCGTTCCATGGCTTCGCGGCGAAGCTAGACGAGGACGAGGCCGAGCGGATGGCCGAGGCTGACGGCGTGGTGACCGTGCTTCCGGAGACGGTCTTGCGGCTGCACACCACCAGGAGCCCGGACTTCCTGGGCATCAGCCCGGAGATCAGCAACAGCATATGGTCTGCCGGCCTGGCCGACCACGACGTCGTCGTCGGCGTGCTCGACACCGGCATCTGGCCTGAGAGCCCCAGCTTTAGCGACAAGGGCCTCGGCCCTGTGCCGGCCAAGTGGAAGGGCCTGTGCCAGACCGGCCGCGGCTTCACCATAGCCAACTGCAACCGCAAGATCATCGGCGCGCGCATCTTCTACAACGGCTACGAGGCCTCCTCGGGCCCCATCAACGAGACGGCAGAGCTCAAGTCTCCGCGGGACCAGGACGGCCACGGCACGCACACCGCGGCCACCGCCGCGGGCGCGCCCGTGCCGGACGCCAGCCTCTTCGGCTACGCCAGCGGCGTCGCCCGTGGCATGGCGCCCCGCGCCCGCGTCGCGGCGTACAAGGTGTGCTGGGCGGGGGGCTGCTTCAGCTCTGACATCCTGGCGGCCGTCGACCGCGCCGTGGCGGACGGCGTCGACGTGCTCTCCATCTCCCTAGGCGGCGGCTCGTCCCCCTACTTCCGCGATAGCCTGGCCATCGCGTCGTTCGGTGCCATGCAGATGGGTGTGTTCGTCGCCTGCTCAGGCGGCAACGCCGGCCCGGACCCCATAAGCCTCACCAACCTGTCGCCGTGGATAACCACGGTGGGCGCGAGCACCATGGACCGGGACTTCCCGGCCACGGTGACGCTCGGCAACGGCGCAAACATCACCGGCGTTTCACTCTACAAAGGCCGGCGAAATCTTTCATCCAAGGAGCAGTATCCGCTGGTCTACATGGGCGGCAACTCGAGCATCCCTGACCCCAGGTCCCTGTGCCTGGAGGGGACACTCCAGCCCCACGAAGTCGCTGGAAAGATTGTGATTTGCGACCGCGGCATTAGTCCTCGGGTGCAGAAGGGTCAGGTTGTCAAGAACGCCGGTGGCATGGGCATGATACTCGCCAACACACCGGCAAACGGCGAGGAGCTTGTCGCCGACAGCCACCTCCTGCCTGCGGTGGCCGTTGGGCAGTCTGAAGGCATTGCCGCCAAGAAGTACAGCAAAACCGCCCCAAAACCAACCGCGACGCTCAGCTTCGACGGGACGAAGCTTGGGATCCGCCCATCGCCAGTCGTCGCCGCGTTCTCGTCCCGGGGACCGAACTTCCTGACCCTGGAGATCCTCAAGCCGGATGTCATCGCGCCCGGCGTGAACATCTTGGCGGCATGGAGCGGCGACGCCAGCCCGTCGAGCTTGTCCAGCGACCGCCGGCGGGTCGGGTTCAACATCCTGTCGGGGACGTCCATGTCGTGCCCGCACGTCGCCGGCGTGGCTGCGCTGATCAAGGCAAGCCACCCGGACTGGAGCCCCGCGAAGATCAAGTCCGCGCTGATGACCACCGCGTACGTCCACGACAACACGTACCGGTCGCTGAAGGACGCGGCCACCGGCAAGGCGTCCACGCCGTTCGATCACGGAGCTGGGCACATACACCCGCTGCGCGCTCTCAACCCTGGCCTGGTCTACGAAATCGGCCAGGACGACTACCTCGAGTTCCTCTGCGTGGAGAACCTGACGCCGTTGCAGCTCAGGTCATTCACCAAGAACTCGAGCAAGACATGCAAGCACACCTTCAGCTCGCCGGGTGACTTGAATTATCCGGCCATCTCCGCGGTCTTCGCGGAGCAGCCATCTGCTGCGCTGACGGTGCGTCGCACCGTGACGAACGTTGGTCCGCCATCTTCGACTTACCATGTCAAGGTTACAGAGTTCAAAGGCGCAGACATTGTCGTCGAACCAAGCACCCTGCATTTCACAAGCTCGAATCAGAAGCTGACCTACAAGGTGACGATGACAACCAAGGCTACCCAGAAGACACCGGAGTTCGGAGCGCTGTCCTGGAGCGACGGCGTCCACATCGTCCGGAGCCCCCTCGTCCTCACATGGCTGCCACCAATGTGAGCTTCCACCCTGTTTGCTTGGCTGATGCTGTTTTGTTAGAAAAAAAAAACACTGTATCATGACTGATACGAAGTGTTCGTTTGTGTACTGTGCGTTTAGTCAAGCAAGCAATGGAGCAGGAACCTCTGGGCCTGGGTAATCAAGCCAGAGATCTGTGCTGTCGCAGCGGCAGCAGCAGAACAGGTCCACTAATCGACGCAAAAATACTGTCAAAGCTCCACATGAGAACAGCCTTTATTCCTCAATGTATTCATGCTTATTATTCCAAATGTTCAGTTGCCAGTTTGATTGTTTCTACATTAATGTGTGTACAACATACTGAAGCAAATAGTATGGAAAATTCGCTGGTATCAGGTTTAGCTTGATTCCCAAATGGTGACACCATCACAAGTGCAGAGCTTCTTGTAGTTCTCTCCTACACCGGCACTTCTTGCAATCACGGCTGCAGCAATGCCAGGGTCTGATCTGTCCTCGGTTGCATACAGAGCAATAGAGCGGCCGATCAAGTCAACGACTCTCAGTTTCTCCTTCGGTCCTGAGAAATGGGCTTCCCCGTTCTCTCCAGCTTCTAGTGTTCCCAGGTCACCAAGCGGCTGTTTCAGAGAGGGTATAAATATTAGTTCCCAATTTTGATTTGAAAGGGTTATATTTTCGTTGTTGAAACTGGTATTCCTTCAAAATGAAATTGATTTCTCAAAGCAGCAGTTTACTTGAATACAATGTTAAGCTCAGGGTTCAAAAGGTTGTGCTTTGCATGTTGAAACTATGTTCTCTCAGTTACAACACCATTTTATTTCTCAAGACTGATCACTCAGCTAAATACAACACATTTATTTCTCTGAAAACCTTTATAAAACATAATAAAAACATTTACAACATCAACATATAATCAGCCAACGCATAAGGAACTGTTCCCTTATCTTTCCCAAAGATGTGCACTTGTAAAAAGTAGGCTATACTAATCTAATGTAACAGGCTAAGGGTGTGTTTAGTTCGCGAAATGAAAATTTTTGGATGTCACATCAGATGTTTCGGGGATGTCGGAAGGGGTTTTTCGGATACTAATAAAAAAACTAATTACATAGCTCGCCTGGAAACTACGATACGAATTTATTAAGCCTAATTAATCCATCATTAGCGCATGTTGGTTACTGTAGCACTTATGGCTAATCATGGCCTAATTAGGCTTAAAACATTCGTCTCGCGATTTCCAACCAAACTGTGCAATTAGTTTTTTTTTCGTCTATTTAATATTCATACATGTGCCGCAAGATTCGATATGACACTTTGGGTGAAAATTTTTGGGAACTAAACAGAGCTAAAGAGATTCAAACGGTAAAAGATGGCCCACCGCCCACCCGACCAGGTCCACCGGTGGGTGAACTACAGCTGCTCAATTCCAAATCTGCTATGTTCTGACAACACATGTGATGCAGCATATGCAAAGCAGAAACAGGCCAGTATGCCAGTGCGTTGCTGATATTTGCAGGAACTATTTGGTTTGGTGGATTTGGTCATGGTATTTAAGGCACAATGAATGCTTTATAAATGTAGATCGGTAGATCACGGGGCAACTGCAGAGGAAACATGAAAACAAATCTAGAAGAAGGTAGATCACGGGGCAACTGCAGAGGAAACATGAAAACAAATCTAGAAGAAATCTCTATGATTGGTTATCATGGGATAATAAGAACCTATTTGATACAAGGGCTAATTACTAGCTAGCTAAAAAATAGCCTATATTAGCCCTAGCACATCAAAACAGAAGGGCTAATAGGTGGGCTAATTGTTTAGTCAAACCTTCAACTAGTTAATTTGCTTAAGTCTATATTAATCTAGTTATATGCTTGGAACATGCTTCAAAGCTCAAGCCATTCTGCAAAGCTAACATATTTAATTTGGCAGAACTTTGCTTTTTGCATTTATTTTTTTTGCTAGAATGAGCAGTGTCTCTTGGTCTCAAGGGACTGTAAATGAACCGATTTTGTATGAGATGTAGGCATACAGTACCAGGTCACTATACCAGGTTACCAACTGTGACTTGCTATGACATGCACTGGATGCAATGCAACTCAGCAAGTAATATGGGTGCAAAGAAGTCTAAAGAAAAACCGTCCGCTCTGAAGTTACTTGTCTTTGAAAGTCTGAAACTGTAATTTTATATCATAAAAGATGAAATGATTCTGAAGCTAGATTATCTCATCCTACAGAAATAAAAAACAACATAAGAGAATCCCAAAGCCTCTCCAATTGCCAACATGTTGTCATTTTTAATTATTTATGACCGTGTTCTGATGATTTCAAGTGTTAGAATATTACCTTATCGGATACATGATCTGGCGGATTATATACATTGCCAGTGCTTTCTGCACCTCTTGTCAAATCTCCAAACTGATTTATTGACCATCCATGTTTACCAGGTGATAGACCACTAAACGTGGCTTCAACTCTAGCCAACTCCATGTTTACTTGGGCCAAACGAACAACACCAAATACAACTGGCCCTTTAAACTCAGCTACAGCAGCGGAAACTAAGAAATCTGCAATGTTGGGGGCATAGAATTAGTCCTAATATACAAACTATGCAGCACCTTAGCAAAATAGAACAGGCAAGCAATCGGAAGGTGGTCTTCACAGTATCTGCCAATTAAAACTGATGCTCCATCATACAATTAAATGAGCTCAATAAGACCTGGTGCAACTTATGAGCATTTCAAAGATAAATGGAGATTAGAGTAGCATTGGATCTCTCTATATGAAAAGGACACATACACAAGAGACAATTAAAGCCCAATGCTACAAATGTCTACATGTCATAAGAAATAGCCAACATCACACTTCACTAACTGATGGTTGCTAAACCTATCATAATGAATTTTGATAACAAATGCCAGCAAATACCAAGCTATTCTGAATGAATTTTGATAACAAATGCTGAATAACATTAACACAAACCATTTGGGTTCCCTTGGCCAATTAGTCGTGCATCTCGACCTGTTTGATGAAGGGCATCTAACATTGTCTTCACTGGAAGAGACCCAAGAACCCTAACAACTTGGTTAGACAAGTCCACCTCAATGTTTTTTATTCCTGTAGTAAAAGGCAGAATGGTTGAAACATAAAGTACTATGCTTAGAGTTTCATAAAGTCAATAGAGAATTAAATAATATGGCCCTATACCTTCAAGAGCTTGCAGCTTGTTTTTCACAGCTGTTACACATCCCTCACATTTCATGTCCACCATGAATTCCGTCTTCAGATCATATCAAGCACAAGATTATTAAATAACTCTTTTCATTGAGACATAAAAAATATTCTAGAGATAATGCACAAGGAATCATGAAGTGAACCACCGGGTGATGTTTCTATCAACAGTGTGCAACGAAGCACAAGGCAAATAGTCTAGCCAGAAAGACTAAAGATTGCCTAATTCATATATATATATATATATATATATATATTCTACAGTACATTAGAACTCAATATTACTTATGGAGTTCACCAAGCACCCACATGCCAAGAAATTCCCCACCTACCTTGAACATATAAAATTCTTTTCAGAATGGAACAATCACCAATATGTCTTTTAGTTATTGGTGCTAAGTAACGTCCCTTTATCAATATGACAGAGCAAGCCAGGCAATTTGGAGCTAATACCTCATACCGTTCGAATGGTATATCACCAAGAAAGCCATAAGTGTTTGGATGACTGTACCTACCATCCGACTTCCATACTCAAATTTTTGTCACCTCCCTTCTATGCAAGTCATATACAACTACTTATCCGTTTTAACTATCCTAATTAATATAGTTCATACTAAAACTGATTGCCCCTCTCAAAGGAACAATCTGAAGATCAGATAGTGGTTCCTCACAGACCTCCCATATCCACAGTTTACTTAATCCCTTGTAGCTATCTTCTGGCAACAGGGAGGAATCAAATCAAAGGATAGATTCATTACTACTGCTCTTGATAAATCAAATATCTTGATGCGGCATGAATACAAACATCACCGATGCAACTCCTCTTTCTTCTAAATAGCTAAATGAGATGATAGGATAACACTAAGCCACTAACGCCCACTAGTGGATTACCAGCTTTACAAATTGGAAAACATCCACTAACTGCAGAAAAGAAGAAACAATCTAGCCAGTTAATTTACAGCAACCAACAAATTGAACATATCACCACACTCGGACCAAGATCTCAAGCTATTTAAACCTAGATACAGAATTGATGTATTCGATTTTCCACCTCTCACCCACCAATACAATCCAGTATCTAGTCCTTCAAAACTAAAATTCAGGTTACCGCAATCACCTCCCAGCGCAAGTAGCAGCTCATCGTGAAAAACAAAAGACTCTAGGCCTCTACTAAAGTCTGAAGCACCTACCGTGAGCTCCGGAAGCGCCGAGTCCAGCTGCTGCAACACACCAAAACACCACACACAAGGTTAGAAAAGCCGCACAGCTCTCAGGAGACTACTGGCGGTGACGCCGGTGAGCGGCCAAACCTTATCGGGCGCCGAGAGATCGGCCGCGGCCGCGCCGGCGGTGGCCATCGGGGGCACGGCGTTGGGAGCGCGCCCGGAGGTCGAGGAGGAGGCGGCGGAGAGGAAGGAGGCAGGCAGAGGGAAGCGGAGCTTCGAGGAGGAGGGGGCGGAGGAGGAAGAGAGAGCGTAGGCTGCGGCAGCTGCTGCGGGCACAGCGGAAGCGGCGGCGAAGGCCCGGAGGAAGCCCACCATTCTGCTCCGCGTTGTGCCGCGCCCCCTAGCTTTTGTAGGCTCTTCGGGTCTCTTCTGCTCCCCACGGCGGTGTGGGGGGTTGGTTGGATGGGAATCGGCTTGGTTGACTAGTGATGCTGCAAGTTTTTTTTGGTTCTGAACTTGAACTTGGCTGCTGTTTCCAGATTTCGTTTCAGGATTCAGAACCGCAGGTTGCCATTGCCATTGACCTCTCGTGCGGCCTCGAGATTTCGAGAAACATCAGGGACTCAGCCTGGTTTCCATTACGGCCGTTTTTACCGCAGATTGCTGGAGCAGGCGCCCACGTGATCTAGCGTTGCATCGCTGGCCTGCATCAGCCCAAATATTTCCAGGCCTGGCCCATATAATCATTTAGGCTCACCATGGAATCTGTTAGGTTGGTCTTAATTGTTTTTTTTTTTGTTTCTTACATATCTCCTACCAAATATTTTCAGGCCAGGCCCATATAATATAACCACTTGGCTCACCATGGAATCTGTTAGGTTGGTCTTAGCTTTTTTTTTGTTTTGTTTTTACATATCTCTTAGTAGTATATTCATGGCGCTAAAAATGCCCATATATTTCATGCAACAACAGGTTCAAATTTGTGGTAGTTTCACCAGGGTTGGCTATGCCCCGCGGCCTTATAAAGGGGCTCGAGGGAAGCAGACCGTCCAGGCGAAAGAGGCATGCACCGGGTGGAGTGATGAGGCGGTGGGTCACTGTTGGCCAAACAAAAAAAGAAGATGACAGTTAGGCCAGGGAGGGGCACTGGAGTCGTGGGGATGGTCGGGCAGCGGAGGTAGCGGAAGCAAACTTGGCGGTGTGGTTGACGCTAGGAATGGGAGGCGGCTGCAATAGGAGGGGAGCGAAAGAAGAAGCAGAGGTTGCTCCTTTTTAAACCCTGGAGCCCGTGGATCAACTAACATGTTGCATTTCTCAGAGTAAAATACGTTCACGGCCTTTGAACTTGCAGCATGTGTCATCTAGATCTCTAGACTTCTACGGTGCACACCTAATAATAGAAGTTCAGCCCATGCTGCGTCAAGGGTCAACACCCTGTTCGCTTGACTTATAAGACGTATTTTTTCGGTCAACGAACATTATTTTTCTCTCACAATAAATCAGCAACGGTACTTTCAGTCATGGCTTATCAGCCAAACGAACAGGGCACAAATGGATTTTAACCAGACCCACTTGCCGATGTGACAGTACACAATACTCGTCGTCATCGTGCCCTGCCTCATTCACGTGCCATGCGCTCATGAGCTCACCGGGATCGGCCACACCCCTGCTCGTAGCTAGCCAGGTCCCAACGCACCGTGTGCGCCCCATTGGGGCTGGTCTTGTTCATCTCGCGACCATGCGCCTGAGCTGGCTGCCGTGCCATGATGCCCCGTGCCCGACCACTATCTCACTCAGCAGTCTTGCTTAGTTGCCGCACCCGCCTGGTCTAGCTGCCTTGCTACCGTCGTGCCTCCTCGAGGGATGCTGGACAAGGAGTGTGTGCTTGAGGTACGACACTTAGAACCTGCTTGGCATTGCCTTGTCCTTCTCCTCACCATCCTCCAGCCTGATCGCTGGGCTGGGGCTGGCTGGGCTGGCTGGCCAGCCCCCTCACATGGCTACTATTTACGCGAAATAGTCAGCAGTATTTCTCTCTCATATAAACGAACCAGCAATGATATGAACCAGCCAACCGAACATGCTGCTCTTCGTTGTGTTGCTCTCCTATCTCGTCCTCGCCGGCAAGAAGCCCGCTACTCATTTGCGGCTCCACGATAGGCGAAAGTTGTCGCAGTGGGACCTCCTGCTATTGGCCATGCTGCCGCACCGCATGCTCGTGTCCTTGGCGCGTGTGCATGGACTGGTCCTCCTACTCCACTAAACATGTGCCTGCCATGGTTTGTCGTCTGCCACTGAGGAGGTGATGAGGGCATGTGACCTGGCGTTCGCGAGCTGACCCCCAAGCGCCTCCTTTACGGCTGTGACTTTGCATTTACGCCTATGGTGAGTACTGGCGCTAGGCGTGCCGTGTCTTTGTCATCCACCTTCTCTATGCATGGCGCATCATCTCCTTTCGGTGCATCAAGGAGAAAGAGGCCATGTCATACGGACATTGGATGGACACCCTCATCGGGATGGAGGGGAAGATCAGGTGGACAAATCAAGGTGCTCGACTGGTTGCTTGAGAAGGTGATTGAAGACCACCACGACACCACCGATCGATGACTTGTGGCGCGACAATGGGTGAGGGCATAGCCGGCCCCGTCGGATGCGTCGGATGCGTGAGCGTGGGGCACTCGGACAAGTTAGGGCACGATGTCGGCAATCCACACAGTTTGTCCCTCGCTAGATGCTAGCATGGACTGCCACGTCGCCAAATGGATCTAGCCATGACCGCTTTGGACCCGTAGCACAACACGACCAAGTTTCTATAGCTAGATGTACATTTAGGATTCAAGAAACTTAGATGAAGCCATGTTCAATGGCAAGCAGCATATATTTTACTCTTCTTCCCATTGATCCATCTCAAGTGATAGTGCATTACAATCCACTGCTGCTGCCCCTATGAGGCTACGAGACCTCTTTGTTATTGCAGATTAGTCTCTTATGGTTGTTAGGTATGATAGGATCGTGGACTGACTAGCAAATCTCAGATAATGTTTTTAATGATGTGGTGTCTCTTTTTGTTTATTTTTTAGCGATCGTGCCGAAGCACATTTTTCATTAAGCAGAAAGGAGTTTTGTTACGGTCCTTATGGCCACGGTAATCCAAGGTTACCGAAGCCAGAAGCTACACAAATAGAGCATAGCACGCGAGTGTGATTACACAATCATGAATTTTGCGACAAAGAAGAGCTACTCTGGGATCAAGTCGCCGCCATCAGGGTCCTTAGGTGCTTGTAGCCAGCCAAGCACCAGGCGTGTATCTCCTCCTGAATGACCACCTGCAGCCCTGCCGGTGTAACAGAACCGACCAATTATACGAAATTAAGTGAGAAAATCATCCACCAGGGCAGATGATTTAGCAAACTTAAGCCCGTATAACCCGGTAGTCCGTGAAATCACAAAGGATTTTAAACCAACTTCCATTCCAGCCAAGATCGTAATAAGTTTAGCGGTCACCATCACATATTACATAAAAGTTCGCAATCTCAGATACATCAGAGTTTAAACATAGTTATTACAAAACTAGTTCGAATAAAAGTAGCGGAAGCCATTTGTTCAAACCACACACACTCACGCGGAGTTCAAATATAGTGCCAGCGAATGATCATCTCCAACAAAAGCATTAGACGAGACGTAAGGAATGACCATGCCCATGGTCCTAAGCATCACCCATCGCAGGATAAAGGCAGTTGATACAATAGCCGTAATACATCTGCCCATCTGCAACAAGTGGGAATAAAACCCTGAGTACGAGAAGGTACTCAGCTAGACTTACCCGACATAACCGAAAATAAATGACACCAAGGATCATGAAGGCTTCATAGTAGGGTAGCTGACTCATTTGCAAAAGAAGCATTTTTAGCATTTCAAGAACCCTTCTAAAAGCATTATTGTCAAGTTAGTTATTATTAACCTGTCGACTAGATTTGCACCTATACTAGAGCACACATATGATTAAGCGAGATAATGATAACCATCGATCATTAAACAACTTCCATAATCGTCATATTCACTATAAGCTGTCCAAGTGTTCCATAAACATTTACTACGATGAAGTCACTCAAGTCAAGTGCTCACTATCCAGAGCGATGGCGATTGAATCGATTCCTAACCGGTGATGATTTATTCCTTACACAAACCTCACTCACCCGCTAAAGTGAGATATTGATCACCGAAGTCAACTTTCCGAGTTCTCGAGTCCGCCAGAACCACATGTACCGGGGGGGCGACCGATCGCACTTTGGTCTTATCATCTCGCCCGTGTCCTACCACACTGCTTCCCAAGACAAAGGCTGCATGGGCAATCTACTCGGCCCGAAAAATCTACCGACCCAGCGGTCGGAAGGTACTTTATCCGACCACTAAATGTAAGGCATGCGTTCAACATGACTCGAGGCCCAACAACGGTCGATCCTTAATCGACCTGAGGCGGAAACACTACGGTCCAAAAACTCTACAAGTCTCCGTCCGGTCTCAACTTCATTTAACACTTAGTTATATTATGACTTCATAGTCATCAAAGAGATCCAGTAACCACCTATAGCTCGCGGTGATGTGAAATCACCCGACTTCTACCGGTCTAAGCCCGCTAAGCATTGACTCGATTGCGGATACCGTGGTAACAAGGATATAGTATAACAAAGGTAAACAAAGTATAATGCAAAGAACGGTTGCAAACAACTCCTGAACGTAATGCATCAATTTAAAGTAAAGCATTTAATGAAATCATTGCAAACCGGGAGAAAGATGCTCCGGGGCTTGCCTCTCTCGAAGGAGCTCGGACGGTGATCGAGGCACTCCGGAAGTTCCTCAACGTCCTCCTGGTCGGCTTCTGGCACTTTCTGCGGCTGCACCTTGAACTGCTCCTCGGGCTCCTCGGGAATGACGACTGGGTTCTCGGTTTGCGATCCTGTATGATGCAATGCGTGTAAGTGCCTATGCAATCGGTGCATCGGATGAGATGAATACAATGGATATGTTCGAATGCAAGGTAGTCACATCATCCAAGAAAATATGCCACAACCACATGTCCTCTACTACATTCTCTTCTACTAATAATAGGTTAAGTCAACACATCTTATCAAATGCTTCAAAGATACACCAAAGCTAACATTATTAACTAACTTGCATTAAAGAGGATTATTTTATTTCATTTGAAACTAGGGCTACAACAACAACCTATATTTCTGATGCTTATAAAAATCTAAGAAAATTACAGTAGCATAGTAATACTCTAAGTAGACTACCATAAAATTTTCATGGCGTTTGGATAAGTAAAATAGTCTACACAAAAATGACAAGCTATGGCATGATCATGAACATGAAAA